TATGGCGGCCGAGACTTTGAAATGCCTTCCAGATCCTCTGAGATCCTCTCAGAGCTGAAACCGGAGCCGGCGCTTCAGAGAGACTTGAAGAAGAAGCCAAACAAAGAGCTGCATTGAGAGGCGAGCAGCGCTGAACCCCACGCTTCCCCTCGCAGACGACGGCGAAACCTTCTGCGCTGCTAATTAAAGCTTCAGCCGTCACACTTTGACATCTTCACCATTAGAGAACCATATTCATCCAGCACCAACACACATCATGTCTGGCTTTCATGCAAGTAGGTTATACCCTTCTCCTTTCATGGGTCACACTATAAAATGACTTTATATGTTATGTAGAAACACGGCGGCTCACTTATAGCGCCGGTGATCTGCCACTTATTAGTGAAACTTAAAATAACTAACTTAAAAGGTCAGTTTGTTCAGTCAAATCAACCAAGTGTCACTTTAGCTTCATTAGCATAATGAATTTACATATAAGAGTCATTTTCAGGAAATGGAGCCTTTTGTGTGAATAACTCCTCATAATTAACCTGAACTTACATTATTTGATAGATTTAGCTGCACATAGTACAATAAAAATAGAACTTATAATAAATATAACTATCCAACTAATGTTGCTGTAATTTGGTTTACATTTTTTATTTGCATTAATATGCATTTTTCCTAATAAACAAACAAATAAATAAATGTAATATGTTTAATAATAATAAAAATAAGTTTGTATTAAACTTGGTTACTTTTATTAATTTATTATTATTAGTATTATTATTATTAATAAAGTAACCATTTTAATTAAAATGTAAAACCATATTAACTACAGTTATACTACAGTAAGCTTAGTTCACTTGTTGTAAAAAAAAAAAAAATTAACTACAAGATTAACCCTGGTCTTACTACAGTAATTTACCTAGTTTACTACAGTAACAGTTTATCGATGTTTATAGTTTAAACATATCAAAACTATAATATCAGCCAGTTTGCATGTGCCTAATCACCAACATTACATTGAAATGCTTGCTTTTATTGAAAACTGTGTAAATGTGTTTCTGTTCAGCCCTCTTATGTTTTCACATTTACTAACTTTTCAAATAATACTTTGATCTTTCTGATGTCACATTTAAGGGAGTGAAATCATACTTATAGTCTTTAGTATTTCTGTTGGGGTGATTGATAGTTTGGTCATTGAAAAGTAGTAATTGAAAACTCATATTTGTTGATGCCAAATCTGAATATTGGGTGAGTATTGACATTGAATTTAATTGAATTTAATTTTATATTTAATTTAATTTAATTTTATTTAATTTTATTTTATTTTATTTAATTTTATTTAATTTAATTTTATTTTTTACTTAAGTTTCCACCCTCTTTGATCAAATGACACAAAACAGTTTGATATAACATTTCAAAAGATGATTAAAATGAGCTTCAAGTAATAATGAAATTAAAATCTATAGAGTATATTGCAGAGCATATTGCTGAAAGACTGTTATATATTCGTGTTTTACAATTACAGAGTTCAAAAGTGTTCAGAACCTGCAAACGTACATGAACAACAAATGTGGAGATGGATGATAATAACACAGATAAAAAACATATAAACATGCTACAATATCTCACGAGAGACGGTGGAGAGCCGAGAGAAACCTGGTGCTTTAATGAAGGACCGTGTGTGATTGAGATTCTCCCGTCATGCACCAGCTGAACTGATGAAAACTGCAAAATTAAAACTCTCTTGGGCCTTTAAAGGATTTCTTTAGTGTCTAATACTGAGTTCACAATAAAACACATTCACTGAAATATCAACTGAGACTGAGAGAGAAACGCTGTATCATTAGAAAAGAAACATTTCTCAAAAGATGATTAAAATGAGCTTCAAGTAATAATGAAATTAAAATCTATAGAGTATATTGCAGAGCATATTGCTGAAAGACTGTTATATATTCGTGTTTTACAATTACAGAGTTCAAAAGTGTTCAGAACCTGCAAACGTACATGAACAACAAATGTGGAGATGGATGATAATAACACAGATAAAAAACATATAAACATGCTACAATATCTCACGAGAGACGGTGGAGAGCCGAGAGAAACCTGGTGCTTTAATGAAGGACCGTGTGTGATTGAGATTCTCCCGTCATGCACCAGCTGAACTGATGAAAACTGCAAAATTAAAACTCTCTTGGGCCTTTAAAGGATTTCTTTAGTGTCTAATACTGAGTTCACAATAAAACAATAAAACACATTCACTGAAATATCAACTGAGACTGAGAGAGAAACGATGTATCATTAGAAAAGAAACATTTCTCAAGACAAACATGATGCCGTCTCAAAGCGATAGTTCAGTCAGAATCATTTGCAGTACAAAAGAAGATGCTGTCAAAATTTCTCAGCGTCTTTTTTTATCCACGCAGTGAAAATGAGTGGCATCCAATGTCGTTTTGGGTACATCAGTAAAAACTGTTGAAACCTGTGTTTGGTTGAACTGTTCCTTTAACAAAGCCCTGCTTGAAAGTTGTAACGGGTTTAAAAATGGATGAAAAGTGAAGGTTGTTCAGGCCTGTTGTCCTCTGAATACTTCACAGCGTTAAGGATTGAATGATTGATAGATAAAGCTCAGCTCAGCAGCGTAAAGAGCTTTTATCAGCCACTATGGGGCAATTGTATTAAATAAAGGCTTTTAACTATAATGAATAATGATTGAGTAAGGCTCAGCATGCAGCGCTCTGAAATCTTTCATCACATGTATATGTGATCTTTTGTTCTGTAATGGTTATTCCCTGCTGTCATTTTCTCTTTATATCGGCTCTGTCTGATATAGCATTCATATGGTGACTAATAAATGCCAATGCATGTTTACATGCTAATCTTACAAACGTACCTCAGAATGATGGCAGTAAACAAATTGTGCTGTTTATTGACAGTGTACTGTCAGATTTCAAAGAATTGTGGAAATGTGTCATTTTTTAGATGTTTAAATAGTTTGAGCGGGTCGCATGTCAACTTCTGGCTCAACCAATGGCATGAGTTTGGGGCGGGACTATGTGTTTAACCAACCAATGACAGACAGGGGGAGTGTTTGGGGAAACCAGTTTGAAAACAGTCATTATTTTTGCAATTTCATTTGGTGATGCCAATGACACACTGAACCAGACGAAGGCTGGACGTTTCCTCATGTCTGACTGACGTCTGAATCACAAACTCACATGGGACAGATCAGCATAATTTACACCGTCAAGAAGCAGAATCACTTTTGTTGTATTTTACTTTATCCCTGTAAAGCCTGACATGTGAAATGATACTCAGAAAATCAGTTTTGTGAACCTGAACAGTTGATTGAACCTTTAGACAAAACATTGCATATGTGTTTTTTGTTGAGTATCATATTTGCTCCATCAGGTTTTATGGCTCATATAGTCTGATATGGTGAGAATATGGAGGAAAAAACAACTTGAGCAAAAATATGCAATTTGATGCAGATGCTGCTTGTGATGTAAATCAATGAGATCTTTATAACAGTAGAGCAGATCCTGACATAAAATGATCTAAATATCAGTCGTCGCTCTATATCTCCAGTAATCTGTCTCCTGCTTCAGTCCAGTAAGTGTTCATCTGGAGATATTACTGCAGTTATTCTGACGCTTACTTGATCAAAATCTGACAGCAGAAAGACACGTGAAGCTCCAGCTGAAGCTGGACGTTTGTACATTATCAAGTATCATAAGCACGATCATAAACACCATAAAGTATTATAAGATATGTAGTAGTTTTGTATACAAAAGAGCAGAAAGGAAACAGCATGAGATGGGAATGACGTGAAGGCCAGTAAATGATGATAAAATGTTCATTTCGGCTGAACTATTCCTTTAATGAATGACTAACATAAAACCAAGCGATGAAGCTTTCTGGACTTTTTATGCTAGACTAAACAAGCATTATAAAAGGTTGCATGTGTGATTCAGTACAGCTGGAACAAGATGATTCTGTCTGTTTCACTGAGCGCCTTAACAAGACCGGTTCACATCTGAGTCACACCTGAATCACGCTAAAATCCTCCAGGATCTGCTTTACAAGGCCTTATAGGGGATGATTGTCTATTATCAGCCAATAGAGTGTGAGATCAGGGGATTTTTTTGTCATCTCTCTTCTGGGGATCTGCTGGTCATCAGAAAAACCTTGTGTATGTGGGAAACAGCTGATTGCATGTGAAAGAAAGAGCTCTAACAAGTGGACTCGAGAGTTCTTTTGAACTGATTTCTGATGGTAGCCGTCATTCTGTCTTGCTCTTGAAGATCATGCTGATGTTTTGGTCTATCATTAATCACAGTCTGTCCTGCTAATTAATTCAAAAACATGCAAATTGGCAGCACTGGAGCACCTGCATCCTCGGCCAGTAGGGGGAGCTGCACTTCAAACTGATTTTAAACTATTTCTGGTCCCACATTTATACTGTAAATATTCATATAAATAACGAGAGTTGATCCATTGAACAATGTTTTATCCCCCCAAAAAGTCAGATAAGCTACTATTTTTCTTACATATGCATTCAGTCAATGCGCTAAAATAATACTGCAATCAAATTTAGCAAATGTTTTCAAATTATTATTATTAAAAAAATGTTTATATTCATGTTTGGAAATTTATGTCATACATTAAATAAAAACTTAATTTTAATTAAATTTTTTAAATCTTTTCCATTCATTTTTCTAAACAAACAGACAAAAAAAGAGAGAAATGTATTTAGCTGCACTTCAAAAAGTCTTAAATAATTTACAAATATTTCTGTTCCCACATATATAATTTAAAAGTCAGATAAACTATTCTTCATTAAAACTTGCATTCAGGCAACATTTTTCTGCAATTAATAAAAATAGATAAATAAATAAATTTATATTATATATATAAAGTATAAATGTCCAACAAAAGCGCCACAGAGACTTTCCAATGCATTGAACTTCTTTTAACCATTGCATTCCCTCTGATTATTAAAAGCACATTTAACCATGTATGACCCATTTTTCCACGTGTGGAGCTTCAGGCGGTCTGCTCTTCCTTCCCTCTGCTCGAGCTGTCGTCATGAGCTCTCAGTGATGGGTTGTCCCATCTGAGTCCAGTCCACTTCAGTCCATCAGAACTCTGCAGAAACTCTCGGTGTCCGTCAGTCTGGAGTTTGAGCGACGCTCGCAATGCTCCGCAGTTCCGCGCAACTTTCTCCAACACACCGTTCCTCATGAACCGCGTCCAGGAGGAAAGTTTCCAGTGTACTTCCAGAAGAAAAGTCTCGTGCATTGGCTCTCAGGGGCCTCAGTGGCCATCAGTAACTGTGATGGACTGGTGAGTAACAGCTCACACTGGCTGTGTCTCAAAACCCAGTCAGATGTCAACCTTGGGCATCATAAGTGTGTGCAGCTTTGTCAAAAAATGGGGCATACAGAGTCTCGGAAACCAGTGAAATGCAAACCTAGAGCACATTTTAGTGCATAAATAGATGTACAGCATGTTTTAAAGGCAAGACACCAGGTGAATAGGGTATACTATATTATATATATTAGATAGATAGATCAATAGATATCACCATACTTCCCCAGTCGAAATGTTATGTTTAAATACGCAAATCAGGCATTATTTAATTAAATATGCACTATTTTGCATACATTTCCAGAACAAAAAATCGGAACACTGGATAAAGCCTGGTTGAAATTTTTTGTTTTATTATGTACATATTTTTTTTACTGACGGGATTTTGGATTTCTCTTTTTATCACTCCATAAATCAGAAAATACTGTTAATAGCCAGGATAAATACATCTTCACCGCGTTTTTATTAGTAAAATGTTATATAAACCAGGTCAAATGATACATGAACAAACCCCACAGTAAAAACCTTCAGAATAATGACAGAAATAAAACTGTAAGTTTTGGTGTAATTGCTGAAGTGGAGAAACAAACACTTTTTTTTGGAGAAAACCACCTTTAGAGATATGTATTGTAACTGAAATCTATTGACGCAAATAGATAACATGAAATGATAAAATCAGGACAAATGATACTCTATATGAACAAACCCCACAGTTAAAACCTTCAGAATAATGACATAAATGGAATAAAACTGTACGTTTTGGTGTATGTAAGTGCTGCGGAAGTGGAGAAAACAACTTTTAAAGATTTGTATTGTAATTGAAATCTATGGACGCAAATAGATAAATGCTTTACAATAAACACTTAAAAGTGCATTTTGGTAGTTTTCTTTCCACTAGTCTGAAACAACACATTATGAAAAGCCAAACAGACTAATATCTCAAAATTGACCAGTGCATGAAAAAAATGTTTTTGCCTATTTTTGGCCATTGTTGCATAAAAGTTTATTTTTGGGAATCATAGTTGTTCTCCAAACATAGAGTTTTTGGGCACGTACAGCATAGGAAGGCTCCAAATTTGGACAGTGTTTTGGGGCATCAAATGCTTCAACAGTGCTGCTCATATTGCATGAAGATGCCAGGATTGCAGCTCACCAGGTTTTGGGATGCAAACATTCATTATAATGACTCAAACTGTTGTATAAATCTGAGTTTACTGATTATCCGCTGCCCTCCGGACATGATCATCTGTCAAATGGCTGTAGTTTCCAGTCTTTCCAGCTCTTACGTAAGATTCATATGCCCACCAGGTCTGATTATACTTTCACTTTCCTGGTTTGTCAAACTAATAATGTCTGTCCGTCCCCCTTAAGTCCTTATCCGAGGGTCACAGTACACAAATTTACCCAGAGTATGACAGGATTCATTCATTTGGCAGCTGAAACAAAATCAGGGCTGTGTACCTGTCAACATCCTATCCTAACAGGAACAACAAGAGTTCTGCCTTGTTTTGTTCTCTGTCTTGCTGTCCTGAGGTTTTGTTCAGGTCACAGACTCAAACCATCCCAAATCTCCCCAAACACGCATGGATTCAGTTGACCCTTCTGACCCTGTAAACCTGAGTAAGTGCACCCTTGATAGTGTGGTCATTCCTCAGTGCGTGGTCTCAAATCAAAACGAAGACTGCAAGAAAGCAGCTGCGGGTCTTACGAACTCACAGTTATGTGACGCGTCTCTATGTATGGAGGCTCATTTCTATCATGGAATTAAAAAATTGCGAGATGTAAACTGAGGATTCAGAGAAAAAGTCAGAATTGCAAGATGTAAACTCAAAATTCTGGGGGGAAAAGTCAAAATTGCCAGACGTAAACTCAGAATTCTGACCAAAAAAAGTCAGAATTGTGAAATATAAACTCCAAATTCTGAGAAAAAAAAATTAAAGAATTGCAAGATGTAAACTCAGAATTCTGAGAAAAAAATGTCAGAATTCCGAGATATAAACTTTGAATTCTGGAGAAAAAAAATCTGAATTGCGAGATATAAACTCAGAATTCAGAGTAAAAAAAGTCAGAATTCCAAGATGTAAACTCAGAATTCTGAGGAAAAAAGTCAGAATTCCAAGATGTAAACTCAGATTTCCGAGAAAAAAGTCAGAACTGCGAGATGTAAACTAAGAATTCTGGAGAAAAAAGTCAGAATTGTGAGATATAAACTCAGAATTCCAAGGAAAAAAATGTCAGAATTCCAAGATGTAACCTCAGAATTCTTGAGAAAAAAGACAGAAATGCAAGATGTAAACTCAGAATTGAGAGAAAATACATACATTTTGTTAGATATAAACTCAGAATTCTGGGGGAAAAAATCAGAACTGAGATGTAAACTTAAAATTCAGAGAAAAAAAGTCCAAAACTGTGAAACAAAAAGTCTCAATTAGCTTATTATATTTTCATACCATGGCATAAATAAACTTCCATATGTATATGCATGTGCTTTGTTGTTGTGACTGCACGACACACGCCCAGCACTTTTGTGACAGGAAGTCTGTGTTGTAGTCTTCACTGTTATTAGTTTAATCAAAGAGCTTTAGGAGGCAGCCAAAATTGCTTTGCTTTTTCAGTGCAACTCAATACTCCCATCAGCAGCAGTGATTTCCGTGAGGGGCAGCACAGAGCGGCTCTGTTCCTCCAGCATGTTTGCGCACACAGTAAGATCATTCATTACGGCCACATTGATTACTCACTTAGGTAATCACTGTCAGGGCCGCGCGGACAATGACACGCTGTCTCCTGCGCCGCTGTCCCAGACAGAGCCGATACTGCGCTGCCTCTCCTGCGAGAACCGAGCACAACAGCCATTCTGTGCTGTTCAAGAAAATATAGTTTAGGGACGGGAAAATGAAAGTGACAGACTCCAGCTGCTGTCTGGCCTGCAGCAGAAGTGTTTATTTGTGCAGCATTAATGGTTTTGCAAACTGCAATTAGCAGCCAGCAAATGCATTCACAGTTTATGATGTGCATGCTTGAGATATTCAAGATTACTCTGTAAAATAGTTATAGACAGTCGGTTTAACCTGTTAATCACGTTGTGGGAAAGAAGTGTGAGTGTAGCTGCTCTAAGAAGCATGACAATGCATTAAGAATAACAGGTTTGAAATGTTTGTTAAAATGAGGCTGAGCACTGCAAGATGGTGCCGACGGTGATGGCTGCCTCCGTGGCGTGCTCCGCAGTTGTTTTTATGTTTTTGTTAGTTTGTCCTGTCTTTAGTTATATCCCTGCAATCAGTTTCACCAGAGACGAATTGCTGGACATTTGGAAGTACACACCACCCGATCACTCATACACTTATTTATCTAACACTCATACTCAGTCTACACCTCAAATTTGCACATAATATACAGTACCTGTACATGCAAAACTGTCTATTGTAATATACCTGCACATACAATTGTCAATTTATATATTTTTATTCCTTATTTACTTGTTCTATTTTTTATTTTTTATTTATTTAAATTTTTTATTATCTGTGTTTTTTGTTCTGTCACTGTCATTCTGTTGCACTGTGGAAGCTTCTGTCACGAAAACAAATTCTTCGTATGTGTAAACATACCTGGCAATAAAGCTCATTCTGATTCTTCTTCTCATTCTGAGCATGATGTACTATTTCTACAGTATACCTTGCATAGTATGCACATTTTCAGTGTGCATACAGTAGAATACCTGCAAAACTTGCTATATTTGTCTTTATGTGCATATGCAACAGTAAGAACTGTATCCCATAATGCACTTGACTTGACCTTATACATTAAGCATAATTAATGAATTGGAAGTTGCGTTACAAACTGTGATCTTTATTATATTTTCACCATGCAGACATTTTTAAGCCAGATTGGATTTCAGAAATGCATTTTAACTATTTTTAATGAAATAAATAAAATCTATTTTCAGAATCAAACAAGCATGTAATTAGGTCATGTGACAACAATGTAGCATACTACTTTTTAAAATGCACTTTTCATATAGTATTTTGAAGTTGTATTCAGCATAGTACAGTAAGCAGTACACTAGTGTATTTCATTCTGAAATTATCACAGGTTTCTTTTATTATAGTGCATCAGTAAAGTTTGAAATTCTAATTTGTTTCATTGATTAACCAGGTGGTGATATTTAGTATTTTCATCCAATAGGGGCTCAATTACATTCAAATCGACCCACTGTGGGAAGATTGCAGCAATTTAAAGTGACTGAACGCAAACAGTTGTTTACTAAACTCAGCATCTTGTACTAGGAAATGTGTTGTTTTGGCACGCAACATGCTCACTGCATACTGACACCATTGCTGACCTTTGCAACAACTTATGTAAACTTCAAGGATGATATATAATTATGGTCTCATTAAGCAGCAGCGAAGGCAATGTCAAGCTGTTTGTGAGTTGCGCTTGCATTGAGACCCCGATACAGCAGGTAAACGAACCACCCGCGCACCGCAGTAATGAAGACTTAAGGACAGAAGCACTTCTGATAAATATGTGAACAGACAACATTTATTGTGGCACTGAATCTCTGAAGCGTACCAGACATGATTATGAAAGCTGCAACTCTGGCAGACTCATGTGTGAGGTGGTCCAAATGTCTCTCTTAAGTCTTTCTCACGCATCTCGTGTCTGCAGCATGTAGCACTACAAAAGTAGAGTTTTGGTGCTGAGGCTATTCATACTGCGAACTGCGAAATACAGTATAAAATATGGTAGAAAAGCGAACTTTTGCAATATAGTCTAGTATGAAGCAACATAAAATGATGCATTGTTTTGTCAGTAACAGACCTCAAGGTGGCGATAGAGTTTCCTTCAAATGTGTGTGCCATTCAAACAGGTAAACAATTTAACTAACTTTAACTAACTTGCTCAGTAAAATTCTCTTCTGTTGCATCACCATGACAGTAATTGAGCTGAAAGAGAAAAAGGCTTAAAATGCATGCTAA